TCTCTCTCTCTCTCTGACCTTCACTAAGCTTTGAATCATCCCAAAACACCCCGAGAACAAGCACATCCCGGGGATAAACACAGGTTAAACTTTATACCACTGACAGAAAGCATTCACCGCGGGACGCTTATCTCCTCGTCTCCCTCCACACCTGCAGCACACACTACCCCGAGGCAGTGTCTGCTCCTGTTCTCCCTAAATAAGGTAAGGGGAGTTGTTAACAGATGTGACCCGCGGAGGACTGTGCAAACTGATAGAGTCACAGGAATGCAAGCTGAAACCTGAGTTGGGAGCCGTGCTGCCTCTCTGTCCTGATATGAAAAGCATGGATGTTGTCAGTGTCCACCAAGACACTGATGTGGAGCAATTCGCTCGACTGTAAGCGAAACAGTAAACACAAAGCTTGTTCCAGGGAGTGCCTGGTCCTCTGCCGTTCGTTTAATGGGAGTGACGGCGGCCTAGATGAAGTGGTCCGTTTCCTTGGAGCACACTTAAAAGTGACATTGTGACAAAAGGGGAAATGTGGCGTTGACGTGCCGTGCGTCAGATTGCAGAAGTACCGTTCCTTCTCACTTCCATCGTCAGGTTTATTCAGGCTTAAACATGCTTCAGCAGAGATACGGAGGAATGTCGGTAGAGGTCTGTGCTCAGCTGAAGCTCACCTGTGACTGTGAGGGAGCGCCCACCTCCAAAACCTCAACACAACTTCACACAGTGCCGTCACTTTATTAATAATCCCATTTCTAATTCAGCTAATAATTAACGATTCAAAGTGGAAAGCGGGTCTCGTTCATTCCTTGCGAGCTTCAGAAATGTGACACTGCCGCTCGCCACAACTATGTCGGCATGTCAGGACGTCTGCGCGAATGGGGGCTGTTTGCAGAGTCACAGATTCAGACTCAAATTTCAGCCTTAAGGACGCCTATTAATCATCCTCCACCTCTGAACGGTGCATGGCTGCATTCTTCCTCTCCGTGCTCTCTCCGGTCATTTGCTCTGCTCTAATCAGTGGCGTGTGTGAACACAGAGGAGGGGAGAGGATTGTGAGGACAGAAAGAGAAGACCCTGCCTGCTCCTGCTCTCCTACAGAGAGGAGTGCTCGCTGCTTCCCGCTTCAGCAGATGGCGGCGCCGATATGGTTTCACTCAACTTTAATTGGAAAGTAAAGACGCTGGCTGGCTTGCCTTTGAATCAATACGTTTTTGACTTGATGGTGTTAATTAAAAGCTGTGAAAACGAGTGATAAGGAAAATTGAAACGTTAGCCCCTGCTGCATCTTTTCAGCTGCAGAGTAAGTCATGTTATCAGTGTTGGCCGCCCTGTTAGATCTTCACTGGTGTTTCTCTTCATTCTGCAGCTACGAGCCTCCATGGAGAGAAAATGTACTGCCGCCACAAACTGTGAAATGTTCTCAAATTTTGAGTTTATCATAATTAATTCCCAAAATAAGAATTGCCTTAACTCTACGATTCTCTTCTGACCCAAAACTGAGACCAAAATCAGAACAGAGAGGGCACTGAGTTGTTTGAGTTGTTTGATCCTCACTGCTGGTGTCTGGCTTTGCTATTAAACAGACCTTAGTGTTACATACATATGAGGTTGTTCTGAGAAATGAGATTAAGACAGAAATCAGAAAACCCTTTTAATTCACTGAAATGATGTAAAACCAGCAGTTCTTCCTCACACTTCAGTAGACTTAATGATTGCAGGTAAAGGTTCAGCTGGACTTTGGATGTCACACTGAGGCTCCTGTTAGAAAACCCAGTTACACACTCCACGCTGAAGAAACGAATGGAGCTGTGTGAACCAGGTGACAATAACCAGGTAAATGCCTGTAAAGTGACTGACGGAGGCTTGCAGCGCAGTGACTGGTGTAAAGGTGGGCTCCACAGACAGTGCCTCTCACTGTAATGGGTTAGAGAGCAGTGGGCAGTCAGTGTGTGACTGAGCTGTGTTGGTTGGCAGCTGCTTTACTGGCAGTGTATGCTCTGGCTCCTGTGCTGCCACACAGCCCCGGCCCCTCCTCTGTGCCAGTGGCGTGAATGGAGCGGGCCCGCGCTCTGCCGTATCATCTGATGGAGGCAGAAAGCTCTGTTCTTCTTCCTCTTCTCTAAGTGCACGCGTTGACGTCCCTTTGTGTGATCCACTGATCCACTGTGCCAACGCTGTGATGCTGCTTGGCTAAAAGATTTTAAAAATGGCTTAAGTCCTGCGTTTTTCAAAGCCCGTCCTCCACGTCTGTCGGTGTGATTTGTGCTCCAGTAAGACTGATTTTCTATACTCTTGCATTAAACTTGTACTATACATTGTGAAAATGTAGGAAAAATGGAGTGATGGTCGTGGTGTATCCCACACGTTCACCTACAAAAACACTGACACTAAACAAAATGTATCCACACATTTTAGACGAGGGAACAATATTTAGGCTTACACCAAGTTCCAGATGTTAACAAGATACATTTTCCAGCTCTTTTTGGGTTATTTATAACACAGCTCAACACTTTCCTTATATTGCTGAGTCCCACTGAATGTGCAGATTATTTCTGGACGTTCTGTCTCCTTCAGGGACGTTACAGCCAAATGTTTGCCGTGCCATCTTATTGTGAGAGCCTTGAACAAGAGTCTGTAAATTCTCAGAGGATGATTTGGAGATGCAAATGTCACATGCAGATCATGAAGTCATTGTGTAATTCTTTGATGAGTTATTAATCAAAATATGGAAACATCTTGTCACGAAGCTGCATCAAAGCTCACATATATCCTTACCATTCATATCTGTTAAATAATAGTTAAAAATTACCCCCATATGTAACCCCCCTTATTTCTGACTGTGTGAACATGTGACACACACACACTTGTATACATTTTCCTTCATTTTGTGCCGGAGGGTGCAGACGGTTTGTTGAGGTCTCTACAGTGAATCACTGCATTCATGATGTGTATGTGACTACCCAGAACTGTGCTTTTTGCAGATTAGCTCCACAAAAAGGCTCAGCTAAAAATAACCCAGATCAGAGAAGTGAAAAAACCCAAACCAAGTAAACACATCGTTCCCCCTGGGCCTCTTTCAGCTGTTGTCTTGGTGGCGCTCTTCCTTCACCTTATGTCATTTTTGGATTTGGAATCAACGCCTCCTCTCAGTTGTGTTTGTCCAAGATGATCTTATGGGATGACTGGCAATGAATCTGGATTTGAATTGTATTTTTATTCTATGTCTCTCTCTCTCTCTCTCTCTCTCTCTTCCTCTTTCTTTGTCCTGCTTTCTTTTTTGCTCCTCTCTCCTCAGAGAAAAATCCGTCGGTCTAAGTTGCCTGACCACAACAGCCTGGACCCCAAGAAAGACAGCACACTTTGGGAGAAACAAAAGTCTTTGTCGGGGAAGAGCAGGGGCAGATGGAGCGGCAGATTGGAGAGGACGGGAGGGACGGCAGCCAGCGCGCTGAGGAGAGGGACCAGTCGCAAAGGAGACAAGCCCAGCATCAGGCTCAAGTCCCACCAGGACCTTTCCAGCAGCCGCAACTTCAGCGAGAAACGAGGGGGCACTGACGAGGCGGCCAAGTTACCTTCCGCCGCCATACTGGGGGAGCCGGGCAGCGTGGACGGGGGACACCAAGTCCCCAGCAGTGACTTTGTGCCTAAATGTGATATCATAGGCAAGGACGCGTTGTCTGCCCTTCATCGCGCCGGGTCACAGCAGTGTCGACAGGAAATCGCCAACATCGTGTGTCAGCATCAGGCTGGGCAGCTCATGCCAGATGCACTCCCTCAGTTCTGCCCACAGCTCGGTGAGGAGCCTCTAACATCCGCACGGACACTGTGATGATGGTGGTTTTTACTCACTGATAGATTTCCAATCAATTTGTCATTATCACATTTTTTTTTTTCTATCTTAAGGTAGCCCAGAACATTTAAACATATGTGTCTCTGTCGGTGTTGTTCTAAATTAGTGGAAGGATGTTTTTAACCAGGATCTGTCTCAGATCTTATACAGTTGAGGATATTTTGGAGTCGTTTGTTCCAGTGAAATCCTAAAAACAAAAACATTTGACCCACTGGGATGAACCCAAGTATATGTGTATATTGCTCACCACTTTGCATGCATACATAATTGTAGTGCAGTGGTACAAACACTCCACCCACGGCTCTGGTTTTGTGTTGGCAGCGTTCATGTGTGTGGGCAGCTTTGTTGGAGGAAAAAATGAAAAATAAGAAACGAGGACAAAACGTCAACCTCCCCTTTTTAATCCTGTACCCTTCACACAGGAACCTCTCATGTAACCTTCTAAAATCTCATTTTATCCATTCAACAGTATCTTTCTCAACACCCAGCCTGCAAGATATTATTCTCTGAAGCTCTCCAAACCCTGCTAAGTCCGTCCTTTATGTCTCTGTCGTCTCCGGCCAGGTGTATCAAATCAAGTCCAGGCCGTTGGCGAGCTGGACAACAGCCTGTCCAAAGTGGAGAACCCTGTCAGAGTGGCTTTCGTTCTGATGGTCCATGGCCGCGCTGTACGGCAGCTCAAGCGCCTCATCAAAGCCATATATCATCGTGACCACTACTACTACATCCATGTGGACAAGGTAAACCCTAAAAAGAGATCACCCCACAGTCTCCAGTATATAAACTGTCCGGTCCTTTCTTGCACACAGACCAGCATTATCCAAATGAGAGACAAATCATTCATCTGGAAAAGGTTCTGCTGGTGTTACTATCTTTTTGTTTATTTATGCTCAGACTGAAGTGTGTTGGCCACTCTGCTTGGTGCTGGCTACACTGAGCTCACAAATGCTTTTACCAGTTAGGTCTTCTTGCATTATGAAGGTTAAATATATCCCCCGGGTCTCACGCTGTGTTAAAGGGGATTAGCCTGGATAGAGTAAAGTGTGGTTATTCTTAGGGGCTGGATTTAGTGGAGGAAAAGTCTGCTCTTATGTGCAGCTGGAAGGCCAGAGACAAACGTATGGCTGAGGGACGATGATCCCGAGGCAGAGAAACAGGGGCCTGTCGTCAGTGCACCTGTGTAGCCGGAAAGGTTGTCGAGTCCTGTGGAGTCGCTCTGTTCTGCTGCCAAGGGACGGTGGAGAGGCTCACTGGAGGCACTGATGAATAAGAAGTCTGTGGGACAGCCACACCACAGACACCATCTTAGACACGTGGCTAACCTCACCTCATTTATCTCGGAGGCAAAAGCCTGTTTGAGAGATGAGGCTGTAAAACAGGTCAGGTTGTACTGGAATCAGTCGAGCAGCTCCTCGGCACTCCACCACCCAAACCTCTACAGGACGGAGAGTTGGACTCATTCTGCTGCCTTTTTGCTCTTGCTGTTGTCTCCTTCATGAACACAACCAGGATGTTCACAGATACAGGCAGTGTCTGAAGCCCTTTGCCTCAACATACATCATCAAGTTCCTTGTACTAAATGTCTTTATTTAATCCAGGAAAGAGTCAGTAGCACATTGTTTGTGCTTTAACAAACACCATTGGACTTCATGTCCCTGAACAATTAGTTTCCAAATGTCTTTTTCTCTTAAACTGCCCATTTGTTGCTTCAGAACCTTTTTATTTGTTGTGTTTATTTGTTTGGTTGTTCATTATTTGGTAATTAACTAATTTAACCCCAATGGGAATTTCAAAACATTTTGTCTTCCTGCAGTCTTCAGACAAATGGTGACACATGCTCACTCGTAGCTATATATACCACCTTTAGTGTCTGTGCATAAAGCTTGACAGCTGCTTGGCTCTTTGGCTTCTTACCTTTCATCCTTTTATTCTCTCCTCAAGTTTAATCCCTGCTTTACTTTTTTTAAGCTCAGTTCATCTTATTTCTGTCAGCTATTGCCACTTGTGAGAAGGAAATTTGCTAAACGGTATAAAAGCTCATTTAAATTTTTTCTTTCTATTATCATGGTGACCCACAATCCAAAGCACCATGTGGCTGTTCTGCTCAGATCAAATTCTCTCAACATGAGCCAGCTTTGTGCGGTTGTCTTGGCACGGTGGCAGCTGCTGATCTGTGGCAACTAGATTATGTTTGTGATGCAGAAACACAGTTTTCACTCACATAACTGTCTGTCCTTTTGCTTTGAAATTCTCCAGCGGTCCGGCTACTTGCATCGGGAGGTCCTGCAGATAGCCCAGCAGTACCCAAACATACGAGCCACGCCCTGGCGGATGGTCACCATCTGGGGTGGTGCCAGCCTACTGAAGGCCTACCTACACAGCATGCAGGACCTGCTCTCCATGCTGGACTGGAAGTGGGATTTTTTCATCAATCTCAGTGCTACAGATTTTCCCACCAGGTTGGTCAGCAGAGAAACATCTTTATTGTGTAACTTTTGTCTCTGTACTCCAACTCTGTTCAAGTGTTAAATACAGCAGGTCCAGTACAAACACTGGTGTTGTATATCAGAGTTAGTCAGTCTTGACACATTTCCAGTTTGTGTTGATTCTTTCTTGGTTGCTTATCTTATTGGTGGCTTAGTCTTTCAGTACTGCATGCAGATTTGATTCCTTTGCTGGCTTACAGAGACAAAATCATGAAGTAGCATAGCATTTGCCAGATGGATAGAGTAGTCTGGTCGCAGCATTAAATTGATTGTTTTGGTCAGTGAATCACAGAGCTGGCAGTTAATAGTCTACTCACTTGCTGATCAGTTTTTGCTGAATATCTGAGGCTGTTTTGAGCCACTATCAAAGTAGCTGATAGTCTTTCTGAACCACTGCAACGGGGTAATAAGGTTGGATTGGTTGGATGCACACAGACAAGCCAGCATTTAAGAATCCTCTAGAAAGCTTTCTTTTCCTTTCAATTCTCACCTCAACAACTTCCCGCAGGACCAATGATGAACTGGTGGCGTTCCTGTCACAACAAAGAGATAAGAACTTCCTCAAGTCACACGGGAGAGAAAATGCCCGGTGAGTATGCTAGCTGTAATGGGCACAACCAACTACAACACACATTGTGTTGGTGTTTTTTGCTTAATTAAATCGGACACTTGTTAATGTTTAACCCAAACTTTTCAAGTGTTTTTTCCTCATAATTTAAAGGGTTAGTTCAGATTGTTTGACAGAATTTTCTCAGTGGTAGTGGTAAATGATGCATGGACGTAAACTCACTCTATGGATCCTGCAGAGATATCCAGCATGTCGGCAGCCGCAAATGAGACCAATTAATAAAACATTTAAAACTGCATGCTGTTAATATCACGCACAAGAGACACAAGCAACATGAAGTGTGGCAGCTCAGGCAGAAATGTTTTTTTGATCATTTACTTTGATGAATGCTGCAAACAGCTGCGCTGCAAACAGCTGCACTGCGTCTCTTCCACGCATCACTTTGAATTGTGCTCTGTGTCGAAGGTTTATTAAGAAGCAGGGCCTTGACCGTCTCTTCCATGAGTGTGACAACCACATGTGGCGTCTCGGCGAACGCAGCATCCCAGAAGGGCTGGAGGTCTCTGGCGGCTCTGATTGGTTTGCGCTCACCCACCGCTTCGTGGAGTACGTCATCCACTCCCAGGATGACCTGGTGTCAGGGCTAAAGCAGTTCTATTCCTACGCTCTGCTCCCTGCTGAGGTAAGTAAGCATTAGGTGGTCTGTTTATCTTATGTAGTTGAGACAGACAGTTTGATATACAAGTCTGTCTCATGCTCGTCCTCCCCTGCCAAGTCAGAAGAGCCTAGCAGCGGAGATAATGTAATACTTTAAGCTTTCAGGCGCAGTGTGCAGCAGAGGTGCCAGACGAGAGTAGGGTTCACTCGAGTTTATCTGACTGTGCGGTTTAATGTCTCAGCGGAGGTGCAGGGTTTGTTCTGTTGTTTGGTGCTATAGAGGCGTGACCCTTTGCAATTTAGAGTCAGTTGTTAGAAACTGCATTTACATGTCTTTGACGGTTTACAGTAACGTAACTCTCACACAACACAGCCTTTTGTTGTATTGCACAGCACAGCAGAAATGATAGCTTTACTCCTTCTTCCCAGTCCTTCTTCCACACTGTGCTCGGGAACAGTCACATGTGCGACACTCTGGTGGATAACAACCTGCGTGTCACCAACTGGAATCGTAAGCTGGGCTGTAAATGCCAGTACAAGCACATTGTGGACTGGTGTGGCTGCTCTCCCAATGATTTCAAACCACAAGACCTCATTCGGATCCAGGTGAGTGAGCCAGATGGAGGCCCTCTGCAGAGACATAGCTTGTACTTTGCCAGTCTCTCGTGTTTTTTTTTACTCCCAGTTTGGTTTAGTGTTCAAATGTTTATTTTTGCTTTTTTCGAATCCACAGCAACTGACCCGTCCGACATTCTTCGCCCGCAAGTTTGAGTCCACGGTGAACCAGGAGGCCATAGACATCCTGGACACTCACCTGTATGGCCAGTATGCTCCGGGCACCGTTGCTATCAAGGCGTACTGGGAGAGCTTGTTTGAGCAGTTGGATGGAGTGGGCTCACTCAGTGACGTGGCTCTCACTGCTTACACTTCTTTCTTTCGTCTGGGCCTCAAGAATCTGCTGACTATTCAGAGCAACACGGAGGCTTGCAGGTATGTAGACTTTTTATTTATTTTTGAACCTTTCAACGTTATAAAATGTGTATTTCTGTGCTGAATTGAAAGAATTTTCATTTCTTATGTATGATTTGTTTTTTCCACTGTCCTGCCCACTGCAGGTTTGAACCAGTAGGCTTCCCCCTCTCGGTACACTTGTACTTTTATGACGACCGTTTCCAAGGTTACCTGGTGCGTCAGGAAGTCCAGGCTGTGGGTTCAAAGGTCAGAGAGACACTGGAGGTGTGGGCAGTGCCCCAAGCCACGCTGGTCCTCGAGAAAAACCTCAAGGAGTTTGAAAGGCTAAAGAATCTGGAAGTAAGTCACCTTCTCTTCTTGTCTACTTGTCTCAGAGGATTATTCTCATCATTGAAGTTTCTGTCCCGTATCAACTTTTACTATCGGGGTACCTTAAGAAAACTGCTGTCTTGGAAGATTTTCTTCCTGATATGAAAAAATTGCAGTGGTTCGATCTGGCCAAAACTGAACTTTGAAGTTTAATTAGTTTAAAAAAATATGTTAATATTGGCGCTAGCGCTAACATATTCTCTCACCTTGTCCTAATCGAATATGAAAGTCAGAGACACAGGAGACTTTGTTTTTCTGTTCTGTGTAACGTAAACCGTTATTGTTTCAGGACTTTCCAGACTGAATCATTCTGTCTTTCTTCCTGGCAGATTGGCACTGACTGGGATCCTAAAGAAAGAATCTTTCGTAACTTTGGTGGGGTGATCGGCCCTCTGAATGAACCACTGGCAGTGCAGAAGTGGGCGCGTGGTCCCAACCTCACTGCCACTATTGTATGGATTGACCCAGCTCTGGTGGTGGCAGCATCTTATGACATCACCGTGGATGTGGATGCAGAGTACACCCAGTACAAACCCCCGCTGCAGCGCCCCCTGCGGCCCGGTACCTGGACTGTACGGGTGTTAAAACAGTGGGAGCGGGTGGCGGAGGCTCACTTCCTGGTCATGCCCTTAACCTTCAAAGATAAGGAGCCACTACGCAAAGGTGAGACATGAATTCATAAAGCCGGTGATGTTGTATATTTGTCTTTGAAAGACCAAAAGCAACTATGTGTTAGTCTTTCTCTAAATGAAGGAACGTATCACTATTGCAGCAGTGTGGCTCATTGAGGTGTTTTAGACAACAATGGAGCTCCTTGTAGTAATAATAATATGTGGTAACTCATCTGGTCATTTTTTTAATTTGCCCTTCTTTTTCTTGTCCTTTTGTCCTAATATGTGAATGTCCACTCCAGAAGAGGACAGCTGGCTCCATGCAGGTCCTCCAGGCAACTTGTACCTGGAGCAGAGCTTCCAGCAGCTGAACTCCGTGCTGAAGCTGCCTCCCCAGGAGTCTGCCATGCAGGAGGCTCAACGTAAAGCCCAGCTGGTAGGTCAGCCCCTTGAGGCGTGGGTGGACAGCAGCATAGAGACCTTCTGGGTTACAGGTGACCTGTGCGCCACACAGACTTCCTCTTGCCCTGCTGTGAGACTGTGCTCCAAGACCTCCTGGAGCTCTCTGTCCCCAGACCCCAAGTCTGAACTGGGCCCAGTCAAAAGTGATGGGCGGATCAGGTAGCCCCGAAGGAGGAGATGCTGTAGACTTAAACACATACGCAGGAAAACCTGCACTGGAGAGCTCCAAGAGAACCTGTGTGAACCAGATACTGTCTCAGAGGTCTGCTCAGACCTCAAGGGCACATAAGCAACGAGACATCTTCCTGCACTGAGGAGTTGAGATATTTTCAGTAACATGAAAATTCAGACTTAAAAGAGGACGATACGACTGCTGGAAATTTGCACATAGATGTTTGCAAGCGCAAAGACTTTTATATTGTTATTTTGCTGGCACACAGGATTTCAGTCCAGGTCTGTTTGGGTCGCAGTTTGAAAAGAACCCTCTGTGCACGTTTGAACCCGGTTTGAACGCACAGCTTTTAGTTTTTCCTCTGCTTTGAAAGAATCAGGAAGCAGTTGTCAAAACTCAACAAACACTCCTTGCTGTGTTCTATCTTCATTTCAAGGGAGAGTGGAACTTCTGAATCATATTATTGTGCTTATTTTGAAGCATTATTACGTAAGCATACAGAGCAGATAGATGAAGTGCACTTTACTGTAAGACTATAATGTTACACAGAGGTCACTTGGTTACAGTGGGAGAAGTTCAAAAAGTCATAAGGTCTCATTACTTCATTTTAATGTGGACTCTAAAGTAAATACCTGCACTGTCACTCCCCTGCACATACACGTCACTAAATACTTATAACCTGAATTAGGAAAGAGGTGAGAGTTCTTTTTATAGAGGTAGAGTCTTATTTTGTGTGTCATATCATTGTCTAACAAATGATTTAAACCTTTTCTTTGGACTGTTAGTTCCCTGAACTGGCTGTAAAGTGTTAAGTTGTCTTTGATGTCCACTGTTGCAAAAAAAAAGCACTCTTGAGTTGTTTTCGGTCAAATTCCCAGCTGTATGACCACTGAGTAAACCTGTGACCATGAAGACCGTTGATATAGCAGAAACCTTTAGTGAATAAGTTTCAGTTTCAAAGGTGAAATCCTCTGAATCTGGTGTGCTTTTTGGCTCCACAATTATTTGAACTAAAGCAACCTTGGCAAGGTCAAGAAACTGTGGCTAAACCTTTAAAGGAATAGTTTTGTGAGATGTTGATTTGCTTTCTTGTCAAGAGTTAAATGTTGATACTATTCTCACGTTTGTACGGTAAATACAAAGCAACAGCTAACAGCTGGCTAAAGTATCTTAGCATAAAGACTAGAAACAGTAGGAAACTGCTAGCCTGGCTTCCAAATGTAACAAAATCAGACTATTTCTTGGTCGGGACTAGCTAGTAACTTCCTAGAGTCTCCACTCAATCAGTGAGCTTTAGAGGACAGAACAGAGGTACCTTCATATCATTATACAGACGTGAAAGTTGTATCAACCTTCTCTTCTTTCTAACTCTCCAAAGGGCAGATTCCCTATCATTTATTTTCAATTCAAGACTTTCAAATAGCAGACTTGGTTAGACACACTGTTATACCTCCTGTTTATCAGTTAATATGCAGTATTGTCGCCGTGCGTGTCCTGTGGGCCTCACAGGTTGGTCATTGGTCCAGATCTCATTTCTTAAGGTGCATTTCAACACGAAATCCACCAATCAGAAACGGTAAACTGACCACTGTATGTTTGTGTTTTTACTGTAGCGTGACCGAGAGAATCTAAGCTGCCTTTATTTAGTCTAAAAGATGAATTGTTTACTACGGGAAAATAGCTTCCAGAGATGTGCAATGAATGCCTTTTCAGAAGATAATGAAACCCCCCTGTCTGTGTCTTAGTTAGCATTTTTATCTAGTTTTATGTGAGCTTTTACGTTTTTAAATACTCGTTGGCCACCACAGGAGTTTAAGTGACCTTGTTTACCTTGCACAGCACAGTTGCTTCAGTGAAGCCCCAGTTTGATAGATACAAGAGAGCAGAGCAATCAACCTAACAGATGTTATTTTTCTATACTGTTTGAGAGGAAGAGTGTGTGTTGTCCGTTCATCAGTGCTCTGTTAAACTATTAAAAATTGCTGTCTAATTAGATTGTGTTTGACAGTCCCACCTGTTCAGTTTCCTTTGAAGCAGACCTTACAGGGTTTTTTTTGAGGGGCTGGTGGGAGATTGTGGTCTCCGTCCGCGCAGCAGTCCGGTTGGTGAGTCATCCTGAGCCCTGTGGCTCTTATCTGAGTGTTTCTGCCCGTCACTGTATGCCTCTGGAAAAGCTCATAGGACAGGCATCGTGACTGACTCAATAAAGAAAACACTTAAATCAAAGATGGTGTCCTGCTGTTTCTTCTGTCTTCGTCTCTAACCGAATCTTGTGGTATTAGGGGGGTCATTCCTGGTGTTTCTTCCAGATGTGCTACATTAAACTTTTCTGTCAGTATGTTTAGAAGGTGTTTTCCCTTTAAAGCAGATGGAGGAGGTAGGACATGTTTGTGAAGAGGAGAAGCGCTCTCCAGGGTGCTGAACTCTTCCTCGTTGTCACTTCCTTGTTGTAATGCCCGACATGGTTTTACCTCATAAATACTGTAAACTACACCTCCGTGTTTGTCCCCAACCGGAAAGCTTTCATACAAACATTTGGTCCGGTTGTGCGTGCTCCAACCACAGGAGTCGAGGTAGTTGTGCGTCTTTTGTTGAGGATATAAACCCGAGGCATGCAGAGGAGGAGGAGGAGGGGCGGAGGTGATAACCGACATACAGGGGGGGGCAAAAAACCGGGCAAAGCTGAAGGAGAGGAAGTTTATGTGCAAAAGTCCCTCTGCTTTTCTCCATAAAACACGATTAAAGGACAAAAAGAGGATGGAGGACGCACGAGAAAGTCCGAGGCGGGAGGAGCTGAAGCTGGTTTCCTCGGACAGTGCGTACGGGTCATCTGCGGTGGACACGGACACAGAGGACGGACAGACGCCCACAGCCAACACCTTCCCTTATAATGAAGACATAACGCATAAGGTGATAACTTACTTGTGCTCTAATTCTCTGTAGATTTATCCGGGAAAAATTTGTCCAAAGAGTCCAAAACTAAACAGAATTACAGCTAATCTTAACTCTAATAGTGAGAAATGAATGTTTTTCAAGCAATTTATGTAAATTCAGTTCTTCAGTGTTGTATAACTAAGCTAAATTAAGATTATTATTATTATGAACATATATCAATATTTGCTTGGAAAAGCTCACAAATTAAGATATTTTAACAAAAAAAAAAAGTATTGAATAAAATTTCCAAATAGAGAATAGAGTTTTCATTAAACTTAAGCCACTTCTAAAAAAGTCTAAATTGTGTCCATTACAGATTATTAGGCACGTTATCAACAACTTATTTAAAAATAATCTAAATGAATGTGTTAAATTTGGTAGCATTTGACACCAAACTGGGGTGGCCCCCCTCCAGATCCACTGTCAGCTGATATCTGTACTAAATACAGTGTTCAATATTAAATATATAAAACCCAATTAAGAAACGCTCTTTCATAAATATGAATAAAACGTATATAAATTTGCCCATAACCTGTCAGATAATTTAGTGCATTATTAAAAATCAACTAATCATTATGAAATGTTAATTCACAATAACTAATAATAATTTATTGCATATATGTTTATTTAATTAAATAGATTTTTATCTCAACATTTTTATTGCTTTTTTAAAACTCTGTCTCATCCCAATCACTCTTATTTTTGTTATTTCATAATGACACTTTTTATTTAACGTCGTCACTTTTTATGACAGTAGTGTTCTGCCTCAATGAGACCGACCTCATCAGTAAGCACAACAAGTGCTACCAAATGTAACCAGTTAGCTCCTGTTAATTACTTGCACTACCTAATTAGTGTCTATTTAATACTGAACACTTGGGGGCTCTATAGTAAACGTCTGGTTCACAACCTTTTTGGCTTGAGTCCTATTAAAACAAAAAAGTGATATGCCTGTGAGTCCTGAGCAGTTCACAGTGATGTAACCTTCTCAACTTGTTTTCATATATCTAATATAATAAGCCCCACGCTGGGAACTACTGCAGTACACCACAAATAATCTATAAGCTATTTCGTAGGTACACCTGTACGATCTAATGCAATCCAATGTAACATTTGTAATAAAACCTAGAACCAAGTTGAATCAACACCTCTCTGACAGTGTCTGATCAATATGACCTTTAAATATGTTTTCCTAAATGTCATAGAATCGCGCAGTAGTTCATTAGCTTTGCTGTTTGCAGATAAATCTCCAACTTGTTTGATTGTAGGTGATGTTAGAATGTGTTTCTCCAGAAAAAGTCTCTCAGTGATGTGTCTGTGTGGGTGGTGGGCTGGATGAAAGAGAGCACAGGAAGTTTTGTGTTTCATATTAAAACCCTCAACTGAATTAGCTTTACTGTTATCTACTGTATTGTTATCTTTGCAATCACTGGAGCGAGTACATCATTGGTATTCATAACTAAAAACTTGTTAATCCTCTGTGTATGATCATATCCAGCAAATTAGGAGCCAGCTTCCTCACCTAGATGCGGAAATCCACTTGTACACGTGAGAGAAAGAGATAGTTTTGCTGAGAGCTCCATCCTGATTTCTAGTTTCCTAGGTTATATTATTACAGTACTGGGTTAAACTTATTTAGTCTATTACCCGTATTAGTAAAGTAATAATAGTAGGTCACATTATACAACAAAAAGTTTGCTTTTACTGTCTGTGGGAGGATATTTGCAGAGATGTTGATGGTTTGAGCCATTTATTAGCCTTAAGACCCTCAATAACTCAACTGTTCAGTATTAGTGAAATAAGTAGAGCATTGTGTGTGAGCCCAGAACAAGCTCCTGCTTGCTCAGTAATCACATTTCTGGTTATATTTGTTGTTTTGCCGAGGCACAGCCTGCCAGAAACTACACTGCAAACTGTATACAGATGGCTCCACTTTGTTCCCAGTTTGTTAAATACCCAATAAACATCTAAGTAGTCTTAGAAAGTGTGTGACAAAAAGCTGTCTCAGTGAGATATAATGAATACACACTAATAAATAATACATTTCTTTGACAATACACCGTAATGTACAAAACTGCATGATCTGAAATCTTTTCAGAACTGCTCAGTGATTTTCTAACTTCAGCTGCAAAACATTTTAGTTCAGTAATTATTCTTAATGTAAAGATTATCAGCATTTAAAGGACAATTACACTGTCATCTCCTTGTTGGGGAAGATGAGAGCAAAGACGCTTCCTGCTCCTTCTTTCTGCTGAATCCACTCAGCACCGCTCTTATTGAAAGACAAGCCAGGTACTTGACGCTGAAAGTGGAAAGTTTCTCTGCGCTCATTGAAAATCTGCTTTTAAGGGCCTATGAGAATGATTTGTTACATCACAAACAGTCTGAAAGTCATTCCTAGTCCAGTATGTAACTTATACAACTGTGATGTAGAAACTTGAAGCCACCAGTGCATATCCCCTGAGAATTTACTTTACAGTGACGTAGGAGACATCTTGTGTCCAGCAGGAACACTTTTGTAATTAATAACAAAATTTGCATATTCAGATTCTGTCATTTTTACTGAAGTAGAAAGAATAGATGTCTTTTTGATGTTGAAATATGTTTGTTAGTGTTCAAAAAGAAACATCTGAGTAAGGGCCTTTTATTCATCCTGAGACAGTGAACACAATACACATTAAGCAAGGTATTTTTAATTCAACAATCACCATTAAAGTACAACAAATATTAATACTGGTAAATACATGTTATATAAGTAAATGCTTCTGTGTTGACCTACCAGGATATCTCAAACATGCATTGGATTCATTGGTCTCTTATATATATATATGAGAGTCCTGGGTTTCCACTCATCAGTTTCATGGTAACTATCTCATCATGAGACATCTCTGAGTCTCACTCTTGATGACCCCACATCTGAGAAATCTCATGTTGCCATGGAGACATACTCAGCATCTCTATCCCTGCTATAGGACCCTTGCCACAGTAAACCCCCACCTCCGTCCTTACGCCGCACACACACACTCATTGTGCTTTTCCTGGAGACAAACAGCCCCTCGCTGCTGTTTCTTTTCCTCTAACAGCGTTTTTCCTGAGAATGTTTACACGTCAGCATCAACATTTGATGAAGGAGGCATGAAATAGTAATATGTTGATTTCACACTGGCCAGCTAAACACTGAACAACTTCCCCTTCAAACGGTGAGTCACACACAGCAGCTTGCCTTTGGTCGGCTTCATTTGCACTTGAGGGCCAATCTGTGCTTGTACCCACTCACACTGAGGAGAAATGTCTGTAGTCAACCTCAAAAAACATTTCTCTTAAGGCCTTTTATTAATATAATAGTTACAATATATATATATATATACTACATAGGTATGTATATATTCTGACTACATACAGCGAATAGATGGATGATTGTTTCAAAACAAAGCATACAGGATATAAAGATTATTGATCTTGTATGCTTGGTTTGAAAAGATCACCGTCTATTTGCTGTATTTCTGAAAGAGCTTTTTTCTGTACTTGCATTATAAAAATTGGTGCATTACTCAGCATTTTCAGAAGGGCTAGAGCTTTCAAAGGAGCTCCTGCAAACATCCAACTTTAAAGAACCAGATAGTCTCTGATTTCCATCTGTAAATCTGCTCAAATTGTCAGGGCATTATGTTTTTGAATGAGGAGCAAAGTCGAGTTGTGCAGAACTTGCGGATGTCAGTGATTTAAACGTGAAGCGCATTTGCGAGCTGGCACGAGCACGGCACGCTCTAATGCTGCGCCGATGTTGGCTCTTTGAGACTGCAGATAAGAGGCAGGCAGCGGAGGCCGCCCTGCCAAGAGGGAGGAGGGAGGAGGAGGAGAGGAGGAGGAAGGAGAAGGGGGAGAGGAGTGATAAATGTCAACAGGCTGGGCTGCACCAGTAGCCCCCAGTGACACGATAACCATGGCGACAAGGTCGATTGATGCCTATGTCCAGCTCTGTGGTGTTACAACAGCAGATCCCTGCTTGGGGTGATGCATGACCCCGGCCGTGAGAACTGATGGTTATCAAACCAGCACTGACAGGTTGTTTTTATTCGTCTGTGTGCAGGGTTTGATTTTGTGTCTGGTGAACAGATTGCCTTGTATTAAATGTAAAAGTAGCAATAAACGATAGAAGAAGTAAGTAAGAGTACAGCAGAGTATCCGCTAAATGTACCTCAGAGTAAATACTTGCTCTGCAGAAGAGGCTCCTGTTATTGATATATTATAATATATATTACATGGAGTGTTAATAATGGTGCATCGTTGTGTGTGTGCGTGTGTATGTTTTTACTGTTGTTGCTGATTGACTGCAGCTAGTTTTAATTACTTTATATAATGTATATAATGTTACTTTACATAACATCAGGCCCCTTCGAAGGGTCTCAAGTATGTTAATCTGAGGGGTCATGAGATGATTAAAAGAATAAAAACAAGGTTCAGCTACATAAATTTGTATTTATTTTTCTAACTTTTCTCTAATTTTAGCTTTTTTGTGAAATATTAGATAATTTTACCTCTTTGGGCCTTGAACAGTTAATGAAAATAGAACTTGGTGGAGTTGCTATCTTAATGACGTATAGCTTTCAATAAGGGGCCATGAGCAATGCTTGGGAATCAGTGGTTCAATCGTTAACAATGTGTTGTATTTTATAACCTTATTATATGTGTTTTAATATAAAATGTGAATCTGTTAAATACATGTAGTGCAGTACAACGTTTTCCTGTGAAATGTAGTATAAAAGAAGTATAAAGTGGCATAAAATGGAAATGCAATCGGTGCTCCTCTTGTGAGCTCAAGAACAAAGGCAGAACATCAGCCTGAGATGGGAGCAGCTATGTCTGATACAGAGACACAGTTTCAGGCCTAAACACACACACGCACACACACCCTCCAGTACATCCTCCAGTTCACCACTGCACACTGCCCTTCCTTGGAGGCATTCTTCCAACCTCCAGCCATCACATTGCATTACAGAGCACAGCTGTGCACTGAGCAACGGATGAACATGTACAGTAACCTACACTATGTATCCACACAGTGTACTGGCCTCGGGCGAGGAGGCAGCGGTGGAGCCTGGACACATGATCTCTGTGACTCTCTCTGCAGACAATCCTGGTGGGAGACAGCGGTGTGGGCAAGACCTCTCTGCTGGTCCAGTACGACCAGGGCAAGTTCCTCCCAGGGTCCTTCACTGCCACCGTAGGCATTGGTTTCACAGTGAGTTCCACACTTCCTGTCCTCCACACACCCTCCTCCCAACCTGAATTTGTTTGGCATCACTCATTTCTCTCTTGCTCACCCCTTCCCTCCCATGTATTTCCTCTCCCCTCCCCCCAGTTCTGCTGTTGACTTCACCCGAGTGTTGAGAAGGACATGTCACTGCGATGGGCTGTTTGTACTGAAGTGGTGACATGATGGTGGAGCAAATCCTCTCTGTTTAAGTGCAGCATGAATCAGTGGTGTTCTCCACTGCAGGATGTAGAATCTTCTCATTGCATTCATTACGATCCGTAACACTGTGCAGTGGGGGGAGGGTTGTTTGCATTATTGTGGCTAATGATGCCACTGCTATGATTAAATTACTGTGAAGAGAACACTACTAATGAATGCCATGGCAGCAGGGTGTTTGCTGCTGGATGTTTGTAACAAAGCTGTCTTAAATCAGAGTGACTTTATGCTTTCTGACATGTGAGGGGGGGGGGGTTGACTCTGTGGCAAGTGGAGGCTAGAGGAAACAAGCAGGAACGATGTATGGCTCATTTAGTGTATGATTTTTCAGCTGTGGCAGCGATAACACTGGCTTTGTGTCATTGCCATTAGAGCAGCATAGAGGAGGCAGAAATGTGTGAGGAAAGTATAAAATTGGCTTTGCCATTTCACATCAGCATAAGTTTGTGGTGATGTATGATTCAAGGTTGAGAAACCCTGCAGGAAGAACGTGCCACAGAAACAAAATAAGTCACTCTGCTGCATACGTCTGCTGGATTTAAAGTCAAGGGTGAGACAGCGGCTGCAAATGTAATAATACACTGCTTTAAATGCACAGAAGGTAGAAATGTTGTTGAAAACGTGGCTCAGTCAGTTGGAAGAAGTTTTCACCTCTTAAGCCTCTTTTAGAGACCGTGCTTTGTAGAAACTACCATCAATAACAAAGCAGTGGGTTCCAGGAAAATATGCAGATAGGAACATATTTGAAGATTTCTTTTTGACCCCATTCAGAATTAAATCATTCAACCACTCACTCAGCTCCATCTCCAAATGTTATATCATTATCTTCATGTCAGAGAGCTGAGATGTTGCCTGCGGTTGCCCATTACTCAGGGCGATGAGTTCATATGTTTAAACAAGAGATTACATGTCAGTTATTATATAACATAAATGATCTCTAACCGTGTGCCATTAGTCCTGTCGCCACATAGAGTGGAGACGCGCTTCCTCTTGACTTGAACACTGGGGGGAGACAAACACCGCAGGAAAAGAGTCATTTTCAGACGTGAGTGAGAAATTGAGTCTCAGTGAAACCATCTTAGACATGTATGACATGCTAATTAAAGGAAGGGACTGGGGATAGTTATGTTCGTCATGTGTTCTTGACGAAGAGAGATTTGGATAGTTGCTTAGTTTCCTGCTGCGAAGAGGGGTCGATAAAGGGGGAAAACATGGGTTGATGAAGAATCTATAAAAGCAAAAAAAGAGAGGCACTGCTTTATGATAATATAAGATGGTCTTGGCAGCATTTTTCTGACATATTCTTAAAGGAGTCATGTTTGGTGGGGAAGGTTTCTGGACAAGGTTCGTGCTGAGATGCGCCCTTTTACGCACATCCCCCCCTTTGAAGAACAGTCAAATTAACCTAATATACTCAAAGTGTATTTAAACTACTGGCTCACAGTTCAGCCCTCTTTCCTCCTCTCCGAGCTTTGACACTTTGCTCTGACCCTCTCAGAGATCGAGCACCACCTGTGGCGGGTGAGTCAGCGACCGGCGCAGACTGACCCCCGCAGCCGGTTTAGGGACATTGTCAGCCTGAAAGACAGACCGACCGTTTCACTGGTGACAGAACAAAGTGTTTGCAGGAGCTGTCGACGTCCTCACACACTCAGTTAATCATCTGCCCACGCCAGGATGCACCGCTCCGCTCTGCAGAATCAGAGAAATGTTTCCGCCTGTTTGTCATCGCCGCTTTCCTGACTGGTCCGCGTAGACGCCGGTGCGTCGCAGCCGCTGCCGATTGTTTTTCAAGTTTTCATCGTCGCTTCCGTCTTTTGACAGTGCGATATTAAGGTGTGATTTTCCCAGAGAAGCGCCTGGTGATCGTTTTGTGGCCACATGCAGTAATGCGAGCAGAGGGGCTGGAGGCTGGCGGAGAGCGGGACTGAGCGGCGGAGATCTCAACAGACACCGTGCGCGTCTTTCTTGGACACATCTCGGAGATAACTGGTTTGGCTTTCCGAGCCTGCGCTCCTTTTTTTCCTTGGCATTGCGATGTCTACGAGAAAGACATCGTTGACGGACAAGCAGACTAAAAACGGAACGTCAAAATATGTGTTGGAGAGATGCGCTTCTGTTAACGAGTATTATGATATTGCCTTCAAGGTGTGTATTTCCGTCTTGTCATTTGTGCTTGGTTTGTTGTTTTTTTTTCTTTTTTCTTCGTGGTACTGCTGGTGGAACAGGTGTCTGCGTTTTATTGTAGGTTTGACACAGAAGCAGCTGGGTGTACCTGCAGCAACAACATGAATATCGACTCCTCAGTTCTTCACAATGTGCATAATCTTAAGTGAAAAGCATTAACCATCAGCTGGTCTGGCTTTATGCATTCTCCTGGTTAAACAGGCCATGTTCACTGTTTGCACACAGACGACAGGGCAGACACAAAGTCATCGACCTGATGCTTTCATTTGTATTAGGAAGTCCCTCTGAGCCTGTAAACCTCTAGAGGTTGCTTTGTCCGCCCTTTCTGATATGCACATATTTGCTGAGGGTGTACTTGTTGCTCCTTGCAATCACTCCCATTAAATATTTATAAAAGCTGCACGGACACACCTGTGACTGTTTTACAAAGACCCACAGACAAAAGGAGAAGTTAAATTCAAGTTTAATTACATTATTATCTTGTAGGCTGTGTGTTTGTGCAGCTATGAGTCACTGTGGGAACATATAAGGTTTGCCTCACATGCTGCTGGATGGGTTGTGTAATTGCACATCCTGTTGTTGTAATTATATTGATTAGGTTTGGAGAATGATGCACAGTGAAAAAGGATGGGAGTAAAATGACAGAGTTGGCTCAAACATCTTGGATCCCCATCTCCAGTATTGGCAGAGCGTCACATGTTGGTGGCAGCTCAGTCAACAGCGGGACACAACACTATCTGTAGTGCACTGTACTTGTGCTTGCGGTGTAATGTTAACCAGCTGACACATTAACTAAATAAGACATTGCACAATCTCATCATGATCCCAGTTGTGAAATATTCACTCGATTGCAAAATAATTTATGCAACATGTCCCTCAGCTTTCATTTCCTCTGCAGGGAGATTGTCATTCTTATCCTGCTATCATGTAAAGGCTGTCAGTAACCTATTGTTCCTCTTCTCTGGTGGTGGGTTTCGCTCTAGGTGATGCTGCTGGGAGACTCGTCCGTGGGGAAGACGTGCGTCTTGGTGCGCTTTAAAGACGGGGCATTTCTGGGAGGCAACTTTATAGCCACCGTTGGAATAGACTTTAGGGTGAGATAGATGCTGTCGAACAGCCCTGGACTCACAGAATGACTCATAATGTCCTCATTATTTCTGTGTGAGCCATTAATGGTTTGTCATTTGTGTGTCATTTTTGATTATGAGAAAATGTTTAGCTTCTAAAAAAACCACCTAATGGTATTAACAAAGCAACAAGAGATCCACTTCTTAGAGTCATCACTCCAATTATCACCTTGTTTCCACGCAGAATACTTCATCATTCTGCAATGATAGCACCAAATGTACAAATCCTCTCACCAATCAGTCAAGTTCACAGACCACTTGTGCTGCGAGGCACTGTGGATGGATTCATAAATGTCTTGGCAGATGCCTGCCCACGTCCCTATCTCCTGGAAAAAAAGATTGGCTGCAGCTCAGCGCGGTCCTAGAGGAGTCACACTGCTGACAGACGAGCTCCTACCTAGTCACATAACCCTCATGCACAGACACACAGACACACACACACACACACAAACCCACGCAGTGACTGTCGTTGAATTTGGAGCAGATTTCTACTGTATATCTTCCTCTGCTGGGGTGAAAATAGGCTGTTTTGTCCCTCCATCCCCCCCACCCCCATTTCCCTCCAATCAAGGCAAAACACTCACACTAATGGGAAGTCAAGTAGGGGTGATTTGAGGAGGAAACTGTGTTGCATTAGCCAGAGTGATGTATTGTCTTCTATGGATGGCGGTGTAGACCTTAAAGAGCATAACGGATGTCTGACAGACAGAGCTATATGGATGATGCCATGAACATTTCATCTCGCCCCCACTGAGGCGCTGCAGCCAGTATCCATTCATAAAATACATTAAAAAGGGAGCTGACACTGGTTTACACTTGAAAAACATTGCTGTTCATTCAGAAGATCGGCTGTTAATGTAAGCAATTACCTTTTGTTTTCCTGCTTGGGTTTATGAAAAGGGGCAAAGCCGCTTAGAAACAGAGTTGTCTGATAGAAAGAGTTGAGTCAATATGCTGAGGTTGTCCTCTGTGCATGGATAGGCAGGCAGGCTGTTGTGGCAGCTTGTAACATGGCCGGTCTATTTTCGGCATGCTTCCTTGTAGCAGTTACTCAGCATGCAGGCTCCTCTCACGTCATAATTGGGGGGAAAAATGGAAACCCATGGCAACTAATGCAGGGGTTGAACCATGTCCATTCTGCCAAGGCAGAGGATTCAGCAGGTGGCAGCTTTAGCTGCCAGTGACGGCTTTGTAGACATTGCAGAGGTTTCTTTTGTTACTGTGTAGCTCTTTCTGCATGTCTTTGGGTGCATTTCAAGTGCTTTTGTGCGTTCACAGGAAAGGCAGGGACTGTTTGTGATGACCTGTCACTGATATTAAGTTATGAAGTGATTGAGGAAGTGCTGCAGAACATTTACTTGTCACACTTCCGTCATCTCAGCCTCTCTCTCTTTGGTGGTTTTTGCTGTGCAAGGTTGAAACAGGGTTGTGACCTGGCTCTTAAAATACCCGTTTAACCCCATGAAACAGGCTGTGGTAGAACCTGTTTTTGTTGTTGCATGCTGAAGAATGCAAGTTAAAATGCTGTATGTTACAGAAACCTCTATTTCCTCTTCACTCTTAATTCCCTCAGGATTTTTGTTTTGCTAGATTTCCCCTTTCAACACATTCATCAGTCACAACATTTAGTCTGTTTTAGGTGGGGTGCCTAAACTATTTTAGGCCAATCTTTTCTCTACAGGAAATCAGAGGGCACCCCTACAGGGCTGCAGGAAATTAACGGGGGAGTCAGTTGTTATGCTGCCAGTTGTCTTTCTCACTGTTGTGTAATTAAGTCTAATCCCAGGACCTTGTTGTGTGGGTGTTGCAAATTACTTTCTCTGCCAGCTTTCAAAGCCACTTTTAGTTGTCTTGTTTCTTTTGCCACACGCTGTGTCTCTGAGCTTTTTTAGTCCGCCGTGATGTTCGTCATTCATCTTTGTGCAGCTTTCACAGCACTCCAGTCTCTAAAGCATATGGTGAATTGTCAGTCTCTCACAGCTCTTCTCGTTCCTGCAGAACAAAGTGGTGGATGTTGACAACCTGAAAGTCAAACTCCAGGTGAGAACCTCCACACCTGTGTCTACATTTCACCTCACCAAAAGACAAATCACCTCATCCTTTTGGGTGCCTTTGACCTATATATCGACCTGAACTCATCTGGTAGATTATGTAGAATCAAAAATAATCTGGAAAGTAATTTACAAATAATAGTTGACCCAAATATGCTCTATACTTGTTTGACTGTCATTGTTTGCACTGCCAATCCAATCAAAGTGCCTGATATTGTGTTAGTGTAGGGGACTCTGGAGGGTTACGTGCCAGCAGCAAGCTGTTAATCTAAGGCACATTCGTCTATCAGCATAACCTGTTTTGTTCAACACTGAGTGGGAGGTGTCAAAATTAGATTCCCCTGCTAGCTCGAGTAAATCTGTGGTCTTTTTTTTTCTTGCACATGATAAAATCATGAATTCAAAAATACTCCACCACTGCCATGAGTCTATGCTTTACAGAGGCTAAGAGCAGTAGCTGACTATGGAAAAGCTCAAGTTGAGAGAAAAGGTTTAAGGTTTTCAGGCTGGCTGGATAAACAGTGTAACAGATGCATAGGGTGTAATAAGGTCATTTTATTTCTCTTTAAATACATAATTTTACAAAAACTACAATCTGCTTTTGGAAAACCGGAAAATGTGTTCTTATAAACAATTTAAAGAAAAAAGATATAACTTATAATTGAATACATTTAAATATGCGATTTAAACATTTCCACTCCACAAAGCTGAGATGGCATTTATTGCTACTTTGCAATGCTAGGCTAGTTAGCATGGATGCATGGATCAGCATTTATGGACTTATTTAAGAGAAACAAAATAAACATCAGATTTGATGTATTTCAATTACAGGAAACAGCAAAAAGGGTATTTTTAAAAGAAATATCTAATTTCGATTGTAATGATTAGTAATTAATGTGGGATAAAAACTAAAAGACCTTTGTTCATCAAAACTTAATTTACAGCAAACAGCTTGGTTGTAATAAAAAAAAACTCTCGCTCTTTAATAGTTTGAATTGTGTTTTTTAGTGTTTTCTGTTGAAATAAATAAATATATAAAAACAAATGTCAACAATTCAGATTCCTGTGTTAAGTAAGTTTTGAGTATGTTACTGCATTCTGGCTTTGTGAGGCAATATAATGACAAGTTTCTGTATTTGTTGTTGTAAGATGATAATTTTTGAACACTCCATTAAGCTGGGCCTAACTTTAGGCATGAACTGCTTTTATCCTCTATGGCTAGATTTAGCTGCTACCTTATATTCATTTACAGTACCAAGATATTAGCTGAAAAACATGTTGTTGTTTGAAATCTTACTCTCTTGCTCTGACTGTTTAGTTTGGGTTTTAGCTGTTTTTACCATATATATAGTTACTGCATTTTGGCAGTATAATGGTATGTCTCTGATTTAGTCTCTCTCTGTGGAGGATTTTCTATGAGGATTGTTTTCCCATGTTAGCTGCTGTGTAATTATGTGGTTTGATACACAGATCTGGGATACAGCCGGCCAAGAGAGATTCCGCAGCGTAACACACGCCTACTACAGAGATGCCCAGGGTAACCTTTGCTTTTTATGTTTCACTTCCTCATGCTCCGTGTGTGTTGAGTGTGTGGGAAGGGGGAGTGTAGGTAAGGGAGCAACCTGGCTGAGATCTGTACTTTTTATTAGTGTACATAGAAAGTGTGTGTGTAGGTGTTGATGTGTGTTACGTAAGATGGTGTGCAGATAACAATAAAGTGACAACCAAGCTGCTCTTCTGTTTCCTAACAGCGTTACTTCTGCTTTATGATATCACCAGCAAGCCATCATTTGACAATATCAGGGTAAGACTCTTTCAAATTACTTTTTCCTCCCACTTTGTCTCTCTCTCTCTCTCTCTCTTTCTACCTCCCACTTTCACTATCTCTCTCTCTTCATTTTCTCATCCTAAACCTTCTCAAGCTGAACAATTCACTTTTTCTATTTACATGCAAAGTATGATGAGGTGCTCCAACATTTTTTCACAGCCCTCTTTGGAAATGACATGATGTCATCGTTCGCTTCGCTACACAGTTTTCAGTTTCTGTAATGAAAAGCAATAAAAGTGTTCAAGGATAAGAGTGACTCAGTCACACCATGATTGATTGGAGGATGGTAATAATACACAGCTGTCTGTCTGCAGTCTTTAAGTGGTGAAATTTGTTTTGTTTACACACCGATCTCTATTTGCCCCCCCTTCTGCGCTGTCTGTCTATTTGTACTTTTAAAGGCTTGGCTGACTGAAATACACGAGTATGCCCAGAAGGATGTGGTCATCATGTTGCTCGGCAACAAGGTGAGCAAAGCTTCCTTTTTGCGTTACATAAAAAGATCAAGAGGATAACTGGTTCCTTAGCACAATTTTAACACACTCTTATCACACCCAGACAGACATGTGAATGCTCAGAAGCCAGAAAATGCCTCCAGCGTGCAACACATGCACAAATGCAAACTATCACTCGCTTATTTGAACATTTACAAGCGAAACGTCGTCTTAATTGTGCTTGTGTGTCTTCGTTGATTTATGTTGTTAATGGGCACTCTTGAAAAGAATGTGTCGGTGAAAAGAATTTCCCTGCAGTGAAAATAAAGTCCACATAAACACATTCATTTGTTACCCATCACCCAATGTTATTTGATCATTATGACTGGGAACCATACACTCAAAACATGCCACAAAACTCACTAATCACCCGCTTAAAGCTTCCCTTGCATGAAACCATCTCCACAAACCACAAGCCATCTCCCCACCGCTGCTGGGGAGGAAAAATTTCATGTCTCATTGCGACCAGCAGTCATAACTAATATATCTAAAAGCTCCCTCTGGTGGCGCAGAGAGGACTCACCCTTCTCCAGGGTCATAGATGTCGCACAGCAGCAGCTCAGATCATTTGCTGTGAGAGCAATGCCGGTATTATTCTGTGGGAGTGCTGCTCTTCTGCTAGAGGTGGAGCTCCTGACATCTCATCAGTCTGAGGGAGCTCTGGCTCAGCAGCTGGCGGCACGGCTGCCAGATAAGAGGATGTGAGGGCTGACATGACGGTGCATCACTGTAGCTAATGGCATGGTGAATCTGTGACCCTTCACCTCCGTTATGATGACTTGTTTTCCCTGCTGTCTTATAGTCAGACGTGGCTGCAGAGAGGGTCGTGAAGAAGGAGGACGGAGAGAAGCTGGCGAAGGTAATGTGTAACGGCTCCATCTGGTCACATTCTCAACAACAGACACCCAGCCACTTGCTCTTCTAATGTGTTTCCATCTTAGGAATATGGTGTACCATTTATGGAGACCAGTGCGAAGACAGGACTCAATGTGGAGCTGGCCTTTCTCGCTATAGCAAAGTAAGTCTTAAAGCTGCACTAATTAATAGTTTTATAATAGCAATGGATGAAAGAACTATGTGTAATGTAAAAGGAGTAGCTCAGAGAAACTTTACTGCTTTGGTTCACTCTCACTGCTCTCGCCAGCTCATCCTTTCCAGCATCAGCAGGCAGCTATTTTCACTGAATAAGCATGGCAGACAGTCAAAGTTAGCTGGTGAACATAGTGGAGCGTTTAGCAGCCTATAAAGGGCCAGATATTTCCCTCAGGAGTTGGTAAAATAGAGTTAAAAGAAGAGGGAATATTGGACACGACTCCAAATGAATGATAATGGTGCTGCTGGATGTGTAAATAGGCAACTGGGTGCTAGCAAGTTACAGTAATAGGATGATAATCTGTCAGTTTTGTGTTTGTAGCTTGTAAAATAATAAATTAAATCAGGTTTAAGAGGTGTATTGATTAATATCTGTTTGTGGTGGTTTGAGAAAGGGGTATTTGCTCCAATTAAGAGCTGCTTAATGATGATTGATGATGATGATTTGTGACAACAGCTCTTCTGTGTCAACATGCCTGCATAGAGCCTTGATATAAATCACCTTTGGTGTCGGCCAGCGTCAGTTCCTGACCTCCCTATAATGCTCTTTTGGCTGAATGGGAGCAAAGCCCTGCAGCCAGGTTCTAAAATCTGGTGGAAACCCTTTTTGGAAGAGAAGAGGCTGTTATAGCAGAATATTAATGGTCAAAGTTTTGACCAAACAATCACATACTGCTCTGATGTCTGGGTGTCCACATAGTGACACTGCTACATTTCATTACTGCGTACAAAACATTTTCATGTCTTCACACTGCATGATGTATTCTTTTATAAATGTAACCAGTTGAAAATAACAACAACAGTAGAGTCCCTGAAGGATGTAGGTTTTTATAATCAGTCTTTATTATGAGCTCTAAATCGAAATGTTCGTGTTTTGGTTGCATGATGCGAGAGGTGGAAAGTCAGCAGAGCAGACCTTTTTCTACACCCCGCCACCCACATAAATGACAGAAAATGACTAAAAATAGTATAGTAATGAAAACATAACAGCAAAAGAATAAAACTAATTTTTGCTCTTGCACTTGGGGATAATAGAAAGGAGTTATTTGTACTTTTCTCATTTCTAAAATAATCTATAAGTGATCCCCAAAACAAATATTTAACGCTTCAACAGCTACATTTCCTTTTAAAATAGTCCTCTGTAGTGAGAAAATGAATGTTGCTACAAATTGTACTTGTGAAAGTGCACCTTTAAATAAAAAGGCCAAAACAAAACAAACCTAAAGCCATTTTCAGTCTAGTGTGGGTGTTCTGGAGTAATAAACGCTGAGGTTCCACATAAAGGGTTTGTATTCTAATCTGTTTCATGCATACATGCATATTTTTAGACTTTTCTCTGACTTGGCATTGACGCTCACATGCCTCACTCTGATTCCTGCAACTAATACAGTCTAATGGTTTTGAGCTAATTTGTTGTTTGTTCCTCTTGACTCGTTATAATGGGATTGAGCATGTTCGAGGCTCCCTGTGGATCTCAAACATTAGCTGTGTAATTTCTGTTTTTGACTGACTTCTTTGTGCACACACCTTTTTTACTGAACCGCAGGAAATATGAAAAGGATTGTTATTTAGTCTAAAAAGGACTGTTTGCACGGCATGTTCCCAGAGCTGTTGATGGAAATGTATGTGATTTGCTATCTTATTGAGATGGGTGCAAGTTAGATTAAATGATTCATGCCAGAGGCCTTTTGATTAAATCTCAGTAAAGAAAGATGTTTCTCTCCCTCGCTCGATTGCTTGTGCTCTTTTTTATTTCTCTTCCTTTCTCATTTTCTTGATTTGCTCACCCTGTCTGTGCTGCATCCCACACATCCACCCCCTCTGTATCTAACTTCCTGTATCTCTCTCTTCATCAGGGAGCTGAAGCACAGAGCAACACAGCAGCCCAATGAACCCAAGTTCCAGATACACGACTACATCGAGTCTCAGAAGCAGAAGTCTGGCTGCTGTAGCCTCGTGTAGCGCATCCTGATCACCAGGCAGAGAGAGACACACAGGAAGAGAGAGAAAGCGAGAGAGGGAGAGAGGGAGAGGGGGAGAGGGAGGGCGGTAAAAATGTCAGCTCTCTTACAAAAAGCCAATCCCAGCACCAAACCTGAGAAGCGGACGCCCTTGTCTTCTCCACTGAGATTATAACTGAATGGAATCTGGATTGGCCGCCATCCCTTATCTGAAATGTGAATTTAAATCTCTTTATGTCATGCGTAGAAATGTTTGTGGTCTTTGTGGTGACAGTTGTATCAAACTACAAGTCAGGAGTTACAATCTGAAATGCTATATCCATCTGCAGGGACAGAAATACACATATTTATAAATCTACTCTGCATATCTGCAAACTAATGGAGTGTAGGGGGTCTGACCGTGTGGCTACATAGTTTGTGACAAAGGGGGTCAAGGGACACAAGGGACACTGACTGACCACCGCTCAGTGTAGCATGAATTGCGTAGTGATGAGAAGGCCCACTTCTTTTAAACCTGCCATTATCATACAAAAACAATATAACATAGCCTATATAATATATATAAGCAATATAGCCATCATGAACGTACCTTTTTGCCAATATTTCTTTGGCTCAGTGGGTTTGTACTGTTCTACTGGGTTAGCTTGCTGAGTAAGAGTCTGTCGCTGAGAAGCAGCTCTAACTCGTTCTTTGGGGTGTAGGAAGTTCTACACACACCCCTCGAGTCCAAAGTTAACCGAAAGTTTAGCTGAGCCAAAAGATAACTTCTGGAAACCTGGCTCTTATGCACAACTGCGCATGCACCACACAGAGGTGGGATTTTGGATCCACTTCTGCTTGCGAATCAGGTTAACTCGTGCCTCTTTAAAAATCGTTGAAAAAGAACAATATGTTCACAAATCTAACACCACTCTGGTTATCACTCCTCACAGCCCTGAGAAGATACTGTAAGACTCCCTGTGTCCATGCCGCAAAGACAGGGAGTGTGCTGACACTTTACCCGTCACTAGGCGCACTTTCAGGGCCCTCTGACAGAGTCACTGTGCAGATAGGTGTTGTAGCTGGGCTAGTGGCTCTACTATGACACACTTTGGTCGTAATGACGCTGCTCGCGGTTAACTTTACTATTCATCACCCATAAATATGTTGTTAAACTCTGAATAGAGCACAGTTATCGGCGGGCCCATGTGTTGACATAAATACAGTTGAATCAAACTTTCAAATCCACATAAAAGCAAATTTTGAGCTGAAAAAGCAGTTTTTATACACAATATGTGTCTATTTTAACATGCCAACAAGAATCTATGTGATTATTTGTGGAGTGCATACAAATAATTTATTTTAGGCAGGACCCTGCTTGACCTCATGTTTGTAACAGTTAGAATAACCTTGATCCAGCGGCAGTAGTGACACTGAAAGGGAAAGTTTGGCCCTATAGTCCCTGAACTGTCGCCTTTCATCTCTCTGGAGTTTGCAGGCCTGACTCCTGATAAATGACAGTTTTATATGAAGAATCAATACTACTGTTGATGGTTGTGGATATAGCATTTTGCCATGCAGCTCTTAGTTTGTTTTCATCCCAGTTTTACCAGGCTGTGAACTGAATCCCTCTTGGCCTTACAGTCTTTATCATTATTCTTGATAATTCAGTGTGTTTGAGAAGTGGACTTCAGTCTCACAGTCAGATTGTAGCTAAAATGATCCCGTCTGTTCACATCTGTACTGCTGTTAGAATAAAGCCAACATTTTGAGGGCGCTCGCCCACTGTGTGTCTGTCTGTACATTTAATTCAGGGCCAGTGAAACGTACATTACATTACAGTCAAAGTACTGTACATGTTACTGTGCTTGAGGATCATCCTACTGTTGCTACACTGCAAAGAGATTATCATTGTTTTCTTTTTCTTTGGTTATAGATTCCCCGGCATGCAATCTGCCTTTTACCAGTAACACACAGAGATGCACACAGCACCCGCAGACATTGTTGTGTCTCCTTTAACGATGGATGTTGTTGTCTAGACTGTACCGAAGCTGTATTTGTTCATGCACCGCATCGTGTAACTCGTTTATTTGTACAATGTTCATTATGAATGTTTGCTTGTCGAACTTGCTCAATGTCACATTTGTCCCTCTTCTGAGGCGTCACGGTGATCACAAAGTGCCATGAAAAAGTGCTTTGTTATCATATTATATATAAAAAAATATATTTTGTAATGTATGTAGTGTTGTTTTATTGAAGTCAGTCTTGTCTGTGTGTCTGTGTGTGTGTGTGTGTTGGGCTTTTTGGAGGAATGGGGTGGGAGCCACAGGGGAGTGACAGGATGTGCTGAGGTTAATGAGCCACTGTGTGGCAGCAGCTACCCTGTTTATTTTGTAGTGCGCTGCACTAGAAACAAGTGGTGTTTAATCAATTAGAGAGGCATAACACACACACACAAACACACACATTAATACTGTATTTTAGAGTTTATTTTATGCCTTTATAGAGGTACACTGTTTTTGTTAACGTGGTTGCATGAGGTTGTGTTCATGTGTTAGGTAAACTTAGTGGACATTATATACACACTGTTCTGGGCTGTACACCTGAATGCACCTCCTCTCCCACTCACATCTGTGAGTCACACTGCAGACACATTATTGGAGCAGGAGCATTAAGGAAAAATCCATTATTTGCATGATTCCCTGTTAACTAACAGCTGAATTTCCCTTGAACATACTGCAGTTATATAAGCACTGATGCTCCGGTAGCTTTAAATTTCCAGTTTGGTTTCCTTTGTCCTCTTATCAGCTCTGGAAGCATTCTCAGCTGCAAAAGTAAAATCCTCCCCCAGGTTTTAGTTCAGAAGCTTCCTACCAGGCTCTATTTTTACTATTTTATGTCACTCATATCTCTGAATGGCCAGATGGATCAGCTGACTCCAAAAGACAGAAGAGTTTAGAAATGATGTTGATCATTATTGTTAAATTAATCTAGGGTTCTGCCTCATTTGTGCATATTTATTCGGCTGTAACTAATTCTTGTTTGGCTATTGGAACTAATACTCAACCTCCTCATTATAATAACAGCTGTATACAAATCAAATGATTTTAAGTGCTAAGGTCAAAACATAATCACAGACAGAGGCTCTGTATCCCTCTGGCCAAATTACACAGCTATACAGACAGTAATAGAGGGATAGATGGGCACATTATTCATCCCTATAATTCCTGCCAGTCAGCAGCACTTAAACAGCAGGAATGATAGAGAATACATTTACACTGTGTATGAGAAAAATGAGTACTGCAGTGAAGGAAATGGACAGACTGTAGGAGTATAAAGGTGTGAAAATTAAAGTGAGCAAAAGTTTTCTTCAATTAAAAAGTGCCAAAGGTGAGATATATCCTGTGTGGGCAAAACGTGCACGACATAAAAATGATAGTAATACACTTGAAGAATACAAAAACTCTATATAATAAGTGAAAACAAGGGGATAAGGGGATAAATAAAAATACTTGTATAGGATTTCAAACTGTCCAGAGGACTACCGGCTTTGGGAACCGAGCAGCACTCACAACCCAAACACTATCTATGTTTCTCCTCATCATCGTGTATTTTTCCTGGACAGCCTCGGTTTTGTGTTTACTCCCTCCATTCCCCTTCTCTGCATGAGGCAGCCAGCTGGGCTGTTCCGTGAACGCACCTCCCTCTTCCTGCGTGGCTCTCTGTCGCGCACTGAAAGGAGCGACTGCTGCGTGAGTCCAGTCAGCCTGAAGTCTCAGTCCCCGGGTCAGGACCCCTCACTGAAAGCAGCAGGATTTTACAGCAAGTGTGTGTGTGAGGAGACCAAATCAGACCTTGACTCGTCTGTGGAAGTGGACCAAAGAGTGGGACAAACACCAGCACCGTTTCCTACGGACTAATCTCCCCAGGAGGGCGGGGGTCGGGTGTTATTTTGTGTTTGAAAGGGGACCACTCATTCACACACACACACACACCTCCTCAGCAGCATCCTGAGCGGGACTTCTAGTCTAGTCATTTACACTTACACCCAGCAACAGGTTGAGGCTCAGCAGCAGCAGTGTGAGGGCGACTGAAGCCTACCATGCCGAGTAAAAGCCAGTATCTGCGCCCCCGGCTGTGCACGCTGGAGAAGGGGGACAACGGCTACGGTTTCCACCTCCACGGGGAGAAAGGTAAGACGGGGCAGTTCATCCGGTTAGTGGAGCCCGACAGCCCGGCTGAAACCTCGGGGCTCCGCGCCGGAGACCGGCTGGTGTTTGTGAACGGGGAGGACGTGGAGAACGAGAGCCACCAGCAGGTCGTGTCCCGGATACGAGCCACCGCGGGCCGGCTGGAGCTCATCGTGGTGGACCCGGACACGGAGCAGCTGCTGAAGAAACACAACATGAAGTGTCTGCAGGAGTATGTCACCGACGGGGTCCCGGTACCCTTCGACGAGGAGGAGGAGGAGGAGGTGGTGGAGGTGGAGGAAGAGGAGGAGAAGGAGGTGGTGGTGGTGGTGGAGCAGGAGGATGAGGGGGTAGACGGGAAGGAAAACGGAGGTGAGAGGCACGTTAGGAGGAAGGAGGTGGAGGAGGAGCAGGAGGGGACACCCCGGGAGTCCACGCCGCTCCCGGAGAGCAACGGAGGGATCCACGGGCACGTCGAGAAGAAGCTGAGCATCAACTCTGAGAAGGTGAGTCAGAGTTATGTAAGTGGAGGTCAAAAGTTTCTGCACTGTGTCACCTAAATGACATTAAACCCACTGAATGCTTATTGAGAGGGGGGGTCCTACAGAGAATAAGTGCTCTATAATATGGGATAACATGGGCAGCTGCACCCACGGGCTCCCGGCTGCAGGGCTGCCAGTCTGTGGGCAGGCTCAGCTGGCGGGACATTTGCTGTGGGTGAGAGGACAAACAACCTGGGTCAGCTCTGGGATCAAGGAAACATGGACCAAACTAAACCGTGACCCCCCCCCCTAAACTGTCTTAAACTCTCAACTCTCAAATCACTGATTGAGACAGTGTCTGAGACAGAAACTCAGTCTTCTGTTATTACCCAGATGCCACATGGTTAAGCATCAGCAGCAATGACAGGCTGCAGCTCCACACCAAAGCAAGCACAGGGAAAACACTCTGAAAAGACGTGGTTTTGTGTCTTTGCGTTGTATAATAGAACATAACAAATATTTGACATTGCTGAACCCTCCACAACAAACAACAGGAAATAGTTAGTGTCTTTATTTTTCTTTAATCTCCACAAAATGAGTCCCACTAAATGAATTTTTTCAACCTTTGATCTTTGTCTGTTACACATTATGGGTGGATTCTCACTCCGCAGTGGCCACTTGTTGCTGTGTCTGCCCTTATTTTCTCCTGCCACGCTGTCTGCCTGTCGGTCTGTCTGTGTCTGTCTGTGTGCGCGGCTGTGAGTTCAGGACCAAGGTTCATTAAAAAGCACTTGAGGAGAAGAGGGTACCTCCAGTCTGGAACATCTGTGTCCCTCACTGCATCCTGGATGTTTACCCCCGAGGCTGTTTCTGTCCAGCTCTCCTCCTCGGCACTTCACTGTAGGTGGGAGAGAGGTGGGAAGAAGGGCCGCAGTGTGCAGAGCCAGCAGCGATCAGGAACAAAAGACGCAGAGATGACCCTGCTGTGGTCTTTTCTGTCTAATATAAACACATCGTCGAGTGCATCTCATTTTCCAGCCCATGTGATAGGCAGATGGTCGTCGTTCTGGCATCTGTTTGGTTTGTTGGAGGCAAAATTGAGTAATAATGACATTGTTGTCCATCATTTTCTTCATGATAACAACAGTGGGATCATAAACACGCATATTGACTGTGCTGCTGTTCAGTGTGTGTTTATGAAGATTCCTGAAGCTGACGGGAGGTCAGAAAGGTCGGAAAGGTGGTGACAGGAGTGATGGCGAGGAGTCAAGTTGGGACATATGTTGAAGATGAATCTAGATATTGCCTGGCATTGGTGGCATAGCTTAAATATTTAGTTCCAATGCAATATTTTGACATTTTGGAAAAATATGCATATTTTACTTTATTTTTGAGAGTTTCATGAGATTGATTGATACAACTCTACAGTTAATATAAGGCAAGGTTTGCAGCGGGTTAGATGGAAACAGTCCAGCACATAGTCCCCTGTAAGACCGTGATGTGTTGTTTGAACACTTTGGTTTTGCTACAAATTAAGCAAGTGACATATAACATGTTAATAAATGAGCTTTAGAGGCGCTAGTAGGTGGAGAGAGCCCTGCTAGCTCTTTATGCTAAGTTAAGCTAACAGGCTGCTGGCTGTAGTGTCATATTTACAGACATGAGAGTTGTATCAATGTCCTCCTCATATATTTGTTAGCAAAAATACTTTATGGTTATGTTTCAGGTATTTAAAAGAGTTTTTTTTTCCCCTCACAAGGTCCACACTTGAGCACCGCTGGGTTATGTTGTTTGTCTTTGGAATATACAGCGATTGTTCCCGTGTTTACTCTCGATACTCTCCACAGATGGCCTAATGGAGCTGGTGCAGTACAATTCACACTGGCACGCAACCCAGAGGGAAGTGGCGTCGAAACAAACAATAGCACTGATGTCAAACTCATTTTCACCACTTGGATTTTTAATTTCATCCTCCCAGAGTTAACAATTCCCAACATATGGAATCATACTCACAGAGAGTAAGCCCAGTTGGAAATTTCTTTTTTATACAAGGGCAGGTTTTGTGTGTATAAAAACCAAGATTTCACTGGCTTAGGAAGTTACTTAGGGACAGAAGACACAGCAGAGAGCGTGAGTGTGTAAATTGGACTCGAGGGATGCAGTTTAGAGTCTGCTGTGCGTCTATGTTACAGTTAGAGGTTGTGTTTTTTGCATTGACTCCACTCTTTCTGGAATTTTCTCCCTACATCCTGTCCAGCATTCCTGTGCCCGAGCCCTGTGGCCCGGCCAATGACACACAACCACACGCACAAGACAAACACACACACAACACAAACACACACACTGACGTCCGCAATCCGCCTGTCTGGCCTCATCTTTGAAGCCACACAAAAGAGGGTTCGACAGCGACGCCTTCTCCGGAAACCAAAGGAGCCTTGCTCAAGGTTTCCATGGTTACACTGATGTGTGTGTGTGTGTGTGTGTAGTGCATGTGTAAGGATGGAGGTGAGACAGCGCAGGGAAGATGCGAAAAAATGGGAGGAGCAGTGATGGAGGTCAAAACATGGAGCGTGGCCCTGGAATAAAATAGGAGCCGCTGTCGTCATCGTGGAGCAAAACACACAAAAAAAACACATCATCGGTTCCAAAGGTCGTTGTTTTGTTTACCAGGCAGTAAAATTGTTACTCTGCCTTTGTTGAGTGCAGTGAAGTAGCAGCTGATTCTCTCTCGTTCATATTACAGATCCATCAGCTCAATCAGAAAAAAACTTGTGGTTCAGTTGTTGTTGTTTGCCGTCTTTCTGTGCAACCCTCTGAAAGCTAATCAGTCAGTTTATAGTCCAATGAGTTCCAAACATTGCAGTAGAGAGAGAAAAGGGGATCAATTTTTTCACAATAGAAGAATAAATTCACATTTTTCAAGTCTGTCTTAAAATATTTGGGAAACTTCACACTAAAAAGATGAACTTTGGAAGAAACCCACGTTATTTGACTAACTGAAGCCTCATATTGGCTTCAGCTACATTTTGGAGATATTTTTGCACTGAACAAAGACTGGATTTTGTCCTCCTACAACAGGACGAATGATTACAGCAAGAAAAACCTGCTTCACTGAACATATAGGCATCTGACTGTTATTGTAAGACAGACTTAAAAAAATGTGAACCTATCCTTTAATCTGCAAATACTTTTTATGATGTCTTGAATCAGTTGTTTAAAAGCCTAGGGATAATGTAAGGAATTCTCATCACAAGGCCAAAGACACATCTTCAACTGCCTTATGTTGTCCTAACAGCAGTCCAGAGAAATGCAGTTAACGATATAAAACGGAAAAGCTAAAGCACATTTGAGAAGCGGGAAACAGCTAATGTTTGGAATTTATCCTTGAAATTTGTAGGTCAATCAGTAAACTCTATGAAACGGGTGATTATTTCATACAGAAACATTTTGCAGTAAAACCTATTAAAATGTATCTGCGTCATCACACTGTTCTGGCAGTGATTCATTCAGATTGAAGAGAGCGAGAGAGAGGAAAAGAGAGTGCGAGGGTGAGAAGTTTTTTTGGGAGTCCTCCTGAATGGGTGCCGGCTGCTTACATAAGACTGTCTTTAAACAGTAATTACAGGAGAGGAAGAGGGCTTGTGTCAGATGAAACTAACCGTGGAAAGATGAGATCTGGTACATTGACAAGTGTTTGTAAGAGTGTGTAATTTCTCCCGAGGTATGTATCACTGTGTATGACTCCACAGTATCTAGCTTTCTAGTATTTTCAGAAATGAAACAAGAGGGCGACTTTACGTCGATGTGCCTGTTGGTTGTCACTCCTCTAATCTGAGCCTCTAAACGGCACATTCACATAAAACCTGCTTATTAAAGAGCTTCCACTCCTTTCACCACACATGCTTGGCTTTAAAGCGTGGTCCTTTAACTGCACGGGTTGAAGTGTTTTCCCTAAACAAATCATCCTCAAGCTGTTGCATGGGAGGGTTCTTTCTATATTTGTATACACTCCTCTGTATGGCCTTCGGTGCATGGATTGACAATGGGCTTTATAATTGGCTTTTATGGACAGTGTATTGTGTATAGCTCACTTTAACAGTCTAGTCAGTGTCTCTGTATGTGTTGCCTTAAGTAAACCCTGAAGTTAATCATGTGTTTTCACAGTTACAACATTAAAATCATTTTTCCCACAGTGGCACAACTTTACTGACCATTTAAATGAATTAGGATTTCATTATTTGTGTCTGGTAACATCACATCCATGTGACTTTCCTATCTGTGTACTGTACTGTAACTCGTCCGTCTGATGTAATGCCTTCAGGAATAGCCCGTGGATAAGACTTTCTGTTAATAGAATAAACGTCAGCTTTCGATGATTATTTGTCGTGCATTAGAGGCAGAAATAGCCACACCTACAGTAACTATTTGAGCCAGGATGGTCAGGGGTGTGTTTCTGGCTGCCTGCTGCTGTCTATGGGAGTCTTGGCCTGTACACAGACCTGAGGACGTTTGTGCTGGTTTCCTGTCATTGTTGTCGGTGGAAGATTTTTCCCCACCCCGTCGTCTTGATCCTCTTCTCACCCCCCTGGAATCCCAGTAGCTCGTAGCAGGGCAGTAAACTACAGCTTAAAGGTTAGAGAAACGATCTCACAATCACTGAGCAAAGGTAGCAGCTAAATGCCTGCAATGAAAACAGGATATAAAACATAATCAAACGACACAGACACTGGTTGAATAGCGTGTCGTTCCAGCAACAGACGCTGAATTGTGGCTCAAAGTAAACACAATCTCTAGCCATGTTTGTTGTTTGTTGTTTTCATTATCCTTGAAGGCATTGTGACAAAGCCAGGTATTGTTTGGCTCTGTTTCGCATGTCATTGTGTTTGTCTGACAGGATCAGATGTACTCCATGGTTCATTCTGAGCGGCCACTTGACGTCTGCTCACACACAGTACGTTTTGGCCATGCCTTGTATTTTTATTTGTTTTTTGTGGGTGTTTTCACTTGAATGTATGTGCATATGT